TTATGACACCGGGTGGAAAGCTTATATCTGTTGCAGCTTATAACAATGCGTGGTTAATGCGTTTTATATCTTTTCGAGAAGAAAAACATTGAAATAATAATAATTATGACAATATAAAATGTTTAATGTTTAAATCAAAACATAGTATGTTATACGTTTATTAAGATTAAAGAATTTAAGAAATCATAGGTGTTAATTTTGTAAGTACTTGAGTAATAATTGTATTAATTGGGTAGTTATCTAATATTTAATTAAAATTCTTATTGATGACTATATCATTGGTCACTTTGATTAACTTGATGGGTTATCGTCTATGGTTCTATGTGATTGTGTTAATAATAAAGTATAATATCGTCACGCATTAAAATATGACTCAAATTAAATATGGTATTATATTATGCAGTAGGAAACCATATGTAGCAAATAATTGTATGCATAAAATCAAATTGTGGTCGTACTACTCGTACTCCGTGTGCGAATTTTTTATTGGTTGTAGACGTATTGCGTGCCTGATTTTCATATTATAGAATACAATTGTAAAATTTCACTTAGCAATTTTTCAGACTTAAGACAAAGAGGGTAACAGAATTTAACTGTATATTATGGTTAAAACCGAACTCATCATTATATTATATAGTTATATTAACAATTATTTTATGTAATATGTGTTGATTATATTGATTATAGTGTCTAAGTAAATACATAAAATAATTTCATGTATAATAAATAATAATATATATTTAATATTACTATTGACTATTTTTAAAGGTTAGTTTTTATAAATCAAAATTTTGGTGAAAATGTATGCTAATGCTAATTAATTATCAACGAACCCTAACAGTGTTATTGGACTATTTACAAATGGTTCTTGATATTACGTTTTTTATGAAATTTTAAATACCTATAACTTCTAGTCTAAACTAAAAGCCCATACTAATAATATATCATAGTTATGCTACACGCAACTCGAGTGCACTAAGAATAAATCTCGCTTGCAATTCAATTGTTATGATTTGTAATCTTTACCTGTCATATACGATTTGGTGGTGCGCCTACCGACTAGACTATTACAGTCTACAATAATCGCTATTAACAGGGTATACATAGGTAGCTATTGTACACTGCGATTTTAACAATATGACTTTTCGTTCGGTTATAATAATAATACTAATAAAGGGAGATCTCATTAGACTAAACTCGCAAACTCCGGCAATCGTGGAGTTGGATTTCAAAAGCTTTTATGCGCGGGGCGCTTCATTATAAAGGAGATCTTATTAAAAGATAGCACTACAGGTTCGTCTTTTCGCTGTGAACTACGTGAACTATATATACACTACCACTAAACTACTCAGCCACTATTGCCACACTACGACTACTGCCACTATAATACTACTAATTATAATAATAAACGCGATCGCAGCGACTGCGATAACAATAATTAAATATTAATATTTTGACCTGGGTATTTATAATATTATACACATATATCTACTTACATTATACACGACGACGGTGTAAAAGTTACACAGCACAGCGGATATTGTTTGACGATGGACACATTAACGAAAAACACAAACGATGGTTCATTAAATTCCCGTCATGTTACATGTATAGTACCTACGTTTGTACGACGATTCAATTTCCAAAACTACGACAGCCCGTCAACAGGTCGTATAAACCCAGTTTTATAGCTATATAGCTACGTTTCATTGTTTTTATTGTTATTACATAATAATATTGTATAGGTAACGTTTTCGACTTTTTCGTTTGACCTTGTGACTCTTATATTATTATAAGTACGCAGCTCTTCTAGAAACACGCAAAATCCCAATGTGTATACGTAATATTTAAATAGGTGTATTCACTTTTATAAACGCCTATTATATTTGGCATTTTTCGGGTTTTCCGTGTTTGTTCGTTTATTTTATTCCATTTTGCCGGTCAATTACGAGGGTTCATGTGAAGCCTTACCCACCTACACCCGAATTCACAAGATCTTTCTACTCGGAATTGTGTTCTATTAATACACACCGTAAATCCGAATAATAGAAAACATTTTTTTATTCTGTTGCTGCTACTGCTGATAATAAAGTATACAATATTTTAATACTTGTTTTTTTTATCATATTTTTTATCTCTTCATGTCCGTTCTTCGTACATGTGTTTTGCATTATATCCACGAGTTGTGCATATGCAAACATGGACAATTCCTATATATCATCCGTATATCAATGTATTATTTCTACTTACTAGAACGACCTTATCGATTCTTCTGCTAGTTTAACATTAAAGTGTTTTTTATTATTATTATAATACACATATACGTTGACTAAAATTATGTATTATATCTACTTCAATGCGTAAGGTGAGTAATTCAATTAATAATTAATAAATTCAAACTATAGTTTTTGGAAATTATAAAAACACATTCATAGAACTTCATATTTAAATACTTAAATTTTAATATTGTAAATACATATGTACAAAATAATTATATGTAATTTTTCCAAAAATGATAGATAAATTATTAAAAGCCACTTTCAATTATTAACTCAACTTCAATTTTTCAATATTAACTTAACTAGTTAAAAAATTAGTCAACTTTCTCAACATTGAATTAATGGTATTATGGCACTGATAAACAACTAAATACCGAGTGTATTATTCAATATTTTTAAAATATGTAAATTTAGTTTTAGCCAACATTTCCCCTAAACTTTCCACTGAATATGACACTGGGTTGGTTGTAAAATACGTTGGCAGTGGCACTATATTACAATTAAATCTCAACAGATGAGAGTATTATTGCTGTAGTCTTTTGTTGGCCGAATGGGAGAGAAATGAAATAATTATACATATTAATAAGATTAGTGCAGCGCTAATACCGCTAGTGCTCATCCCTTTCCGATGTACTGTTAGTTTGTTTAATGTATATATTATTGTAAATATTTGAACGTTTCTCTCTATCTACGGCATTTATTTTAACATTATATGTAAAACAGTGCATTTAGTATACATCTATCGTTCGAAATTAAATGCCGCAAACATAACAATATCACGAAGTTCTTATAAAAATTAGTTTATCCGAAACGCACATATTATGCACCTAATAAATATACAACAGCCTTTTATAAATACTAATTAATAATACACAATATTAAACGAAAATATGCATAAGATACGTGTGCGTTGTACATATGATAACATTTTTATTGAAAAACAAAATAAATATATCATACTTTGTTTTTTGTTTTATATTATAATTTCTAAAATTTTATAATTTATTTAATATTATTTTAGTTATTACTGCTACTCTGTGTACTGTGTAGTAATAAATTACGGCATCAATACATAAAAGGTACAAAGAAAATTAGATGTCAAAAAATGAAATTCCATGTATTGTTAGAGTATATAAAACTATAAACATCAAAAACATGTTACACCACTTGTTCTCACAATTTACATGCTGTTTTTTTGTTTTTATAAATAAAACATAACTTTAAGTTAGAGGATGTTTTATTTTTTAAATGGTACAAAATTAATATCTAATTTTCAAAAATGTGCCTCCTTTTTAAGTTTATGATCAATCGAATAAAATATTGAAGTTATGTAAGATGTCTAAAGAAAAAAATACCTCATCAAAGATATAAACATATGAATTAAATGTAAATTAAAACGAATTAGTTAGCAATAAACAGTTATATCTGTTTATATACCAAAAGTGGTAAATATGCTAATATTATTAGTACCAATCGTGTACTATTCCATTAAAAATGTTTTCAAACAAATTTTAATAATTATTAAGTAAGTTTTAATTTTTATTTTTAATTTGTTAAAATTATTAACTTAGGACCTTTTAAAAAGCAAGCTTTGAAGTAATATCATAATTTTACATTAAAATTGCAATACTATAATCGTTTTAATGAAAAAACACAGTAGTCAAGTTGTTCAATTACCTACGTTTTTGTTTTATTTTCAACAATAAAATATACGGTAACCTCCAACATTTCAACAAATAAATGTTGAAATCCGATAAATAAAAAAATGTAGATAAATTTTTTGTTATTTTTATTATTTTTATTTATTTACTTTTTTTTTTTTTTTTTTTGAATTATTCTATCTTTTTAATTAAAGAAGTTATAATAGTTACGATTAAAATTTACATTTTTCATTTCTTCTTTTACAATGATTAATCGTAATACCTATATATTATTAAAACAGTTATTTTTTTTAAACATTACTTTGATTATTCTTCCATCTGTTATCCGGTGATTTCCAGTACTTGGTCAGATTACTGTCTTTTCTTTGTTCCTCATTTTACTAATTAATACTTGGTACTCTTACAAAAAATCTTAATACAGTGGTAGTACAACGTTTTAGATTTGAAAACAGAACGTGTGAGAGAATGATTAATATTAAGTGTGACGTATATATTATATTATTTGTATATACACCGTAGGTATATGTTGTAGTTGGAGTAACGTAACGTTTTCACCGAAAATTTATATATATTTTAACCACCGGGATTTTCAGGAGACCGAGCAAGCAGCAATAAATATTACTTTCGTTTGGAATATCAAATCAGATAGCGAATATAATACGATTTCTACCACTGCCACACTACACGTTATTGAACATCGATCATAAAATGTATTTTTTGTCTTCATATTATATATGTTCCAATATGAGTGAAAAAAAAAAAGAAAATGTTGTTTTCCCCTTCTTTATTATTCCTTGTGACTCGGCTACTTTTGCCACGCGTGTGCACATGAACCACGGTAGACATCGTACAATCAAAACTTTGCTTTTATACGAAATTTCCTCCAGCAACGCAAAAAAAAAAATGTATTGATGCGATTTTTGTCTTTATATATTACATGGAAAAAAATACATTTTTTACACGTATAGTTCACTTTTTGTACTGTACTTATTATTTTCATTTTTATTATTATTATTATTTATTTATTATGTAATAAAAAGCTTTCTGTTTTATTTTTTAGTTAATACTATCGACGACCAGAGCTTGGGACTCTGCAAACTCGAACACATCTTATATGGACGACGTAAGTAATTTATTTCTAATCCATATATTTATATAAATGCAAACGCATAAATGTAATATAATATAGATACATGTGCACGTATAATACCTACGCAATTAAGTCGTGTTAAGGTTTTAATATCTATTATAGCATGTTATTAAAAATAATATTTTATATAACGCCTCCGCAGTGAGTTATTTTTTTTACAAAGACCTTCATAATTTATTAGGAAATATATAGGTACGCATTAATATTTACGGTATTTATATTTTTCTCTCGACCAAGCGCGCACTGAATATAATGTATTCGTAGGTTAGGTGTTCGCTATATATATCTACTGACACATCGGATTCATTAACGAGATTTTTTTTCCATTTTACAGCATTAAATATTATTATCGTAACCCTAAGCTTTCGTTTTTACGTGCATATTTTATTTCGCAATGTACACGTGCACACCTATGCGTGCATTAAACGAACAATATTATATAATATTATTACATGCCACCTGAAGCACATTTTGGGGTGAATTTTAAAGTCAACGGGTGAATGTGACTATAATATACATTACATACCGTATACCTACTCGGTGACAGCAGTTGACAGCGGGTATATAAAGTGCGCATATACGACAACGCGTCACATTTGAAGTTTGGACTGTTCGGATGACTAAATTATAAATGGGACACTAATCGATTCTCTCGGGCGTATTTCTGCAATATTTAATTTATGTCGCGTCTCTCAAGGGTTTAGATCTGACATATCAAAAGCATTATATGCAACGATTTTAATTCAACATAATACTATACAAATATATTAAAACATAATATAATAAACGGAATCGTATTATAATGACATAATGACGTTTAACAATCAGGTGGAAGAAGATAATATTATGTTTCATAACTTTGACGTTTCGAAGTAAAATTTTTTTCAGGATAGCACATTAATAGTATGCTCAAGCTCTTATTTTCAATTTAAAACGTATTTATTGAAATTCTAAATTTCTTAAATTTTTAATTATGTTTAAATACCATATTTTAAAATCTACTTAAAAATGTCAAAAGTTAGAATTTGAATAAATTCAAAATGAAGGAATTAATAGAGGTGAACATGCTTAGTGAATTACTCTCTAGTGTACTATTATTATAACCAAATACAAGAACAAGCGCTATAAACAAATTTCATCACTACATTTACTAAATTATATTATAGTAACAAAACATAATGAAAAGTGCAGAATTAATCCAGAAAAGGGGGCTGAAAATCCTTTAACTAAAATTCCAGAAAAAAAATTAATTTATACTATGTTTGTGCAGATAAGATAATGTTATGAATATAATATATTACAAATACACAATACATAAATATATTATATGCCATTGATTCTGTAAGCTCCCTTTTCAGAAAAAAAATATATCACTGGTATAACATCCAGTATAAAGGTGTTAAAATTTAAAATATACCTACTAAGTTTATGTATTCTAAATTTAGGATCATTCAATATTTTATTTTATAAAAATTATACTATATAAATATAAAGTATTTATAATAGAGACAAATATTTAATACGAAAATTTTTTATTTAAAAATAACTTAAATGGTTAGTAATTTTTATATTTTATGGGAAGGTCAACTTTGGAACTTTAAATGTAAATACTATTCTTGCAATCATATTGTGAATATTTTTTCTTGTAGTATTTTGATACATTACGATCAAAATTTGGATGAGTAGTTTATGAGTAATAATACTTATAAGTATTCAAAGTTTAAAAGAGTAAAGTCATAGTATACCAGCAGTCTATAAGGTATCCTGGTGGCCGGTACGAATCCATTCCACCAATAAAACTTTATATATTTATAATTTATAAACTACTCTTCTAAATTTCGAATTTTATTCATCAAAAAACTTTGAAAAAAATTTTAAGACAATATAATAATTATTAATTATTTTAAATATTTTTATGTAAAAAAACTTTCGCATTATTATTTGAACATTTTTCTCCACTATGAACATTGTATAATTATATGATAAAATGGCTATAACATAAATATTGAATCACTTTATACAGAATATATCAGTAAAATAATTATGCTGAATATTTATTTATTTTTTTTTATAGTATGAAAACTCGTGGTCACCCTGGTCTGAGTGGTCTTCTTGTTCGAGAACGTGCGATGGTGGAGCCACTTATCAACTACGAAGGTGCAATGCAGTAGTTGGTTGCAAAGGTCACCATGTTAGATACAAAATCTGCAATATGGAGGTAATTCGATAACGATTGAACTAATATATTTGAGTTTTTTTTTTTTCATATTAGTTTTTTGTAATAAAAACTGAAGTATTCATAAAACAGAATTTGTTTGAAGATGAAATGATTGTAAAAAAAAAACAGAGTATAATAAGTATTTTAAAAATTTATCACGGACCCTATACATTTTTTGAAATAACAACAATTTATAAAAAAAATACTATGGTACTGAATTATTTTATTCTGCGAATTACAAAATGTTTCAAGTTTGTTAGAGCATAAGGATTCAACATTTTTTCATTGCACTATCACTAAATTTACAAATTTTTTATTTAACTATAATGATTGATAGAACCAACAAAAAATAATTATAGTAATTTATTAATTATTACAAAATAGTAACACAGTCTATTTTTAATTTGTATCAAACTATTTACATAGAACACAGTAATCATCAATAAATATTACTATGATATTATATTAAACTGACATTTGTGTAATAATTTACGATAGTTAAAATATAAATAGGTTTTTGACTTAAAATTACTATCCTGTCATTTTTCGTTTATTGTAATTAATGTAGGTTTCTTGTCTTTATAGAGATAACAATTACACGAATATTCTAAGAATTACGTGAATAATACTATTAATTTTTAACATGTTATAATACCACATAATCATCGTCTAAATAATTTATTTCTAAGTATGAGGTTTCCAGGTCATCTTCATTTATTACACGTTTGGCTCGTTGTAATTTTGGCATCCATTTCCCAGACATTGTGCACAAATATGTTTTGTACGTAATTTCTTATACACAACCCTTGGCATTTGTATTTCACAATATTAATTTCAAAAGGTAATCAGAAGTTAGGAGATCATTCCATGTTATTGGAACCAAATCATTAAAGTTTTAATCTCCAGACCCCAAGTATTGTAAAATTAAACTATGACTTATTTGTAGTAAATTATATTTGTCTGTTTAAACAGTTAAGCCGATATGATTCCACCATGCTAAAGATTTTATAACATTTATTTTAAGTTTGCTTTTACATACTTATAGAAAAATTAATATTATTCGAAAACATATTTGTTTTGAGCCATTTTTAGATTTTTATGATTAACTGTATTGAATAATTATTATCGTGAAATAAAAAAAATCTCATAAAATTTGTATAAACTTATTGTTTTTTTGTGGAAATTACGAAAAATTATATTTATTAAAAGTTCACATCTATAATAGTGCATGTTTTAAATAATTAAAACGTGCTCAGATATTTGAATTAATATTTAATAATAAATATTAATGATCTGATCTAGAGATAAATATTATTTTAGACAACATTAAGTCAATAATATGTTTACCTGGTTTTAAAAAAGTATTGAATATTAGCTGTGTTCTGAAACCAATATAAGATTTAGTCATTTATTAATAAAAAAAGCTTCCAAGATAATATTATGATTTAAATACGCACAAGATTTACGACAATCATTTTTAAGATTAATATTTTATTATATTATTTAATAAATGAATTATGGTTGTATCATTGATAATATATGTGTCTAGACTGCATATAGGCTGATACACTTCAATTTACTAAATTTATTCATTTTTAATGACAATGATCGAGTAATAAATCGGCTTTTATTTCTTTTCGTTACTTATAAAAATTGTCTTGATTTACAATTGAACGCAGTAGTTATATATTCATCACATAAAACACTACTTCAGTTGTTTTTTTTTTTTTTTTTTTGTTCTTGTAATAATTCGACATGTTTTTATGTTTATCTACATTTATTTTATATTCGAATGGCCATCGCCTTTTTTTAGACTCATTGTGCGTGTTTTACAAATCGATTAAGTATATAAATATTAAACGTATTATTTAGGTTAATTTTACAATTTAAAAAATAAAAACTATTATTAATAAGAAACTTCTCGGATTTATAGTACAGCATTTTTTTTTTCTTAATGGTGTAAAAAAAATAGTTTAAATTTAATATCTTATTATTGCTTTACTCGTAGATTTTGATAAGTTATCGATAAAAATTTGTGTTTACTTTACAGCTTAAGTCATCATCATCTAAAGCAAATAATTCATTAGAACAGCCATGTAGAGCTTATAAGAATAAATTATTTTAATGTGTATTCTAAAGTAACCCATTGTTAATTGCATAATATTTAGGTTCCTAAAGACAAATCATTTTAAAATTTCAACTTTACGTCTTTATTGTTCTTACTTATTTCTAATTATAGCGTTGATTAATATATCATAACTTACTATATTGAATTGCAAATATTTTTACATAAAAATATAATATACATCATATATTTATTTCTATTGTTATACATAAAAAATATTTTTTCATACAATTGATATAAATTGTTCTAACAGAGTACTGTTTGTCATTATCATGGCGCTATCGTACGTAATATTAAATTTATATAATTTCGCATAACAATTTAATATGTTTTGACATGTTGAATATTATTTGACGATAATAAATAATCTATACTTAATAATTAATAACACTCGATTATTATAACAGTTGATCATAATAATGTAGCTAGTAATGGTTTTGTATTATGACATGTGACTTGAATTTTGTCCATAAACATTTGTAAAAAAAAAAAAAAACAACTGGAAATTGGCCTATTTTTGGTAAATTCTTTGACACTTATTGCCTTATATAAACTAATTTCACTCCACACACTATGACAAAAAAATCGTAAATAAACTAACTTTTCTAAGCTTTGTTTTTAACATCGTGATTTATGCGCTCGAGAATTCACTCGTTCTGAGATGAAAATAATTCTCTACAGCATCGCCGTATGTAACATAATATACATACATATTATACAATATACATATATATTATATAGTACCTATACATGTATACACACATTCTCTTTATTTCTATTCTATTGTTTCAAATGTTTTTCCTTTGTATATAAAAATTGTTTTTTAAACATCGATTAACATGGAAAAAATATTTTATGCTATATATCACATACTTGTATTATAATACTTGAGTTTCGAACACCATTACAGTAGCCATAAATTTCGTAGCACTAGTGGGAACAGTCTGGAAACACACGTAAGGACGAGGAATACAACCGTGATCGAATACGTTTTTAAATTGAACTCGTTACGCAAAGACTGTGAGACTTTACAGGGTGTTTTCAATTCATTGTCAATCACATAACCATTTTCTCGCAAATTATAATTTCGATCTCAAATCCTCGTTTTTTTAAAGCGTTTACTTACATATTTTACGTTGTTTTTCTTTGAAACTGTTCTATCATTAAAAAAGTAATTTTGTACATTTTCTTACTAATGTATTGTTTTCTCTACAGCCGTGTCCTGACGGATTGGATTTCCGAGCGGTGCAGTGTTCAGCCTACAACGATCAGCCGTACGACGGTGAGACCGTAGAATGGCACCCTTACTACGACGAGGAGAGCCCTTGCACGCTGATGTGCGTCGATTCCAAGGGTCGAGTGGAAGAAATGGCCCCAAGGGTGCGAGATGGCACCAGGTGCAGGCTAGGATCATTGGACATGTGTATCGACGGCGTGTGTCAGGTGAGATCTAGAAACAGCATACAATTGGTATACATAATATTATAAATTAAAATATAAAGGATGAATGCTCCTATAATAAATACAACTTATCTAAAAGTCGGAAACTCAATGAAAAGAAAATTACTCGAATCAGTTGATAGTTCAGTTAACATTTAGATTAAAAAATTAATAATGGTTATTAATTCATATATTAGGTATATAAAAAAAATTGATTTATCCAACTTAAAAAAAAAAATAATAATAATAATAAAAATAATTAATTTTTATGCCCTACTTGGGATGATTTTTTTTAATGCTAAGTTTATTAAATAATGTGTAAATTAGTTAATGCATATTTGGGTAAATATAAAGATTAAGAGAACTCGACATCAACTAATAAAAAAGAATAGTGATGCCGTGGATTATGGGATTAAAACATTTTAAAACTACCTAAAATTAATATGATGATTCGAATAAACTACGTTTAAAACCCACATTGTGATAAAAAACTGTAGACTGTACTTGGTTTTTATTTAATATTTCATAGACATTTAATATTATTTTATTTTTTACGACTTAAAGACCAAAAACTCTAAAGCAGTGTCTCACTGTAATATATTTTAATATTTTTACAATAATAATAATTAGTTTACCCTCTACTAAAATTATGATAACACATAGTGTACGTTACATTATTCACAGAGAGTCGGCTGCAATTTAGAAATTGGATCAAAGGCCAGCGTAGATGAGTGCGGAGTCTGCGGCGGAGACGGTACGTCGTGTTCCAAGGATCTACACCACTGGGCCAAAATAGGCACGGGTTGTTCAGTGTCTTGCGGTGGAGGTGAGTGTGACCAATGTTCGTAAAAATTAAAAACGAGTTGTATCTACGATTCATAAAAGCTATAATTTAATACACGAGACTTTGTATCTACTAAATATATTTATTTTTTAAGAAATAAAAGCATTTTAAAATAACTATTCAAAACATTGCACGGAGAATACGGGAATGATCTCAATCCATTTCAAGGTTCTAAAATATTAGCTGATAAAATAAAATAAAAAAGAACAATAAAATAAGGTTTATCATTAACTCAAAAGTTCATTTTGATATATTCATTTTTATAATAACAAATAGTTTGCGATTAGTATTACTATTTACATTCTAACATGGCGTTTCAATCAAATGTAATAGAAACTGTATAAAATTGTATTATAACTAATAGAAATTAGTTAAATACTATTTGTTTTGCTCTCCAAAAAAATAAACAATTACATTTTAGTTGGAAATTATATTAGCCCTTAGAATATTAAGGTACCTAATAAACTAAGTATTCATGTCCTTTCATTTATATAGTATTGCAAATTGCAATAGTTAATACTTATCTTGATAAATAATTAATTATAACAGTAGAATCTGGTTTATGCGTATTTAATTACCTAATTTAAATTTCACCTACGATATAGGAACATAAGTAGGTGCATTTGGAAACATTTAAAAACATCACACACAACAATTTTAAAAATGAATGAAAATAAGTACGATTTACAGTAGTTAACCTAACTCTTCTCTCCTAATTTGTAATGGATTTTTAAGCACATTAATAAGTGAGATAAATTCGTTTTATAGAACATTACATTCTTACTACAATAACACTTACCTTTCACAATATTATTAATTCTGAGCAGAGGGATGAATGTATTGATTTTATAATAATGTATTTTTGTGAAACAAGTACACGATAATTTGTCGATGAAATACTCAAATTTTCAAAAAAGAGGTTGGTTTTGAATTTTAAATTGGATCTAGTTTATATTTAAGAGATTTCAAACTTAAAAATTGTCATTTTTATTTTTTATAATCGTAAAAACAAAACAAAAAAATTAAGGAAAAACGAGAATTTTTACTCGTGTCTAATTTTTGACTAATTTTGTTTTTTTGATGTAAATCAAAAACAAATAACCGTAGTAACTTAAAATTTTCATAAAATGTTAATATTATCGTTTTTTATTTACGATAACATTTTCAAAATATTTTTATTTTTTTCTATAAATGTTAATAAAGATTATTTGCTAGGTAGAAATGTTTGAAAATGTAATGCAAAGTTCCTCATAAGTTGTTAATTTCTCAGTTGAAAAATATCGAAAATCTATAGTCACAATATTTTTTTCAAAATCGTTTAAAGTTAGAATTTTGAAAATAATAGTTAGGAGATCAAAAAATAGTTTTCTTTTGTTTGATACGATAGCTGTAATCAGCCATCAATCTTTGTTATATTATGATGATTGTGTATGCGCAGAAGCACAGATACTCGCAGGTTAGGGTTGGGGTCATAATAATATTATTATCGCACGCACTGGTTGTTATACAGAGTAATTCACCAAATATAGCACAAAAGAGTTATGTAAGTTCTATTTTTTAAATTAACCGCTCTTTCCTTATTTACAGTAAATTACTTAGTAGATCATATTTTTTTTTTTCATTTTCATTTTCATTATTCAAAATTTGAACGAGTAGTTTTACAATTATTAAAATATTTAAATGATGAATAAAAATCATAAATGGTTTTACAAAAAATTAGGTGTAACATTGGTACTAATGTTATTATACTTAGACTATTTATACAAATTATAAATATTGATAAGTCAATATAAAATACTAAATTATTTAACTCACCTTACCCACAATAATAGTCCATAACATATAAACCAATTTTTATTGATCCTTAATAAATAAATTTAATAACTCAATAATTACTTATTTGGTTTGAACTCGTCAAATTTTTCTAAAAAAATATCTACTTAATAATTAATATTAGAAAAGGGGGAGAGGTTTTTATTTTGAAAATTGAATTTCGTATCTCTACAAGATATTTTTCAAGTAATACAAAACATTTTAAGAACTTAAAAATATTGTCTTTAAATAGGTATATTTAAAAACTTAAAAATTATATTTCAAATATTTGAATTTTAAAGAAAAAAAATAAGGTGAGCATGCTTGGTAAATCGCTCTGTACTATAAAAAGGGGCGACGTCGGTGGCAATGCAAACCATCGTCCATCAGAGACGTATAATATCGTACATACCTATACTTAACTATAAATACCTATACAATATTATAGAACTATAAAGGTGACGCAGTTGACAGTTGGATTTCATTATGTCTAAAAGGGCGAATTATGAACAATAATCCTAATAATACTCTGAAACCTGTAATAACGGTCGGCAGTGTCTCGGCGGCTTTTGACCGCTACGTGAAAAATACTGACAATGATAAAACGTTTTAATCAATTCTAGTACCACGCGCAGTCTGTTTTTCGGTCACCTCTTATCGTCCCTGCCCGTAATGTGATTAATGGCTTCGAACAACCCCGCGTGAAGTTCCTTACGGATACACCGTATGACTTTCTTCTTATTTTCGTCTACTATTTTCACTGTGCTAACACCCTCCCCCCGCCATCCATCGATCCCTTATGCTTGTCGCCGTGTTTATATAATATTATACGCGCCAATCCATACACAACGCCCAACGGCCCAACCGAATATAATCTGCACTAAAGTCGCCGCAAAGCTCCTTAACCGTATTCTCGTCGTGTTTGTGTTCTTATATTGTAATAAGACATATTACGTATTTTAAATTGGAATTAAACACATTTCTATTCTAATAGTTTTCGAATAATATGTATAACTATTATATAAATATGTATCATGGAGGTTACAATATTGCGTCTTCATGTACAAGTACATAATATTAATAATATTATTATAACTTATTATAACGAATCCGTTTGCACAACCATTCTTCAAACGGGAAAAGAAAATAGTACAAGTTAGTTCATACAGATTTAATAATAATATGTTAATACGTTATTTTTATTTACGTTATTTATATCGTGCGTATTACTTATCACTGCTCATAATATTATATTTTTATTGTATTCATTATTTTTTACATAAACATATCGCATTCAATTAAATGTATTTTTTTGACATAGTTAACTTTGAGAGTATTTCATTGGGCAATGACTGCACTTACGCAATTTCATTTTAATTTATTACTCTACTACTATTACTACTACTACTACTACTTCTATTACTTCTATATTTATACTAGCATTTATATACTTTTTATATTTTAATTCCTTACTATCAAGTATAATAAGGTAGAAATTTGTTCTATGATACAGAAAAAGCAAAATTTTAAATGTTATTAATACATATAATATTTACACGTCTATTTTAGTTTCACTTTGTTTGGTATTTCTATAAAGTTTTTTAAACTTTTAAATTAATTTTGTCGTATTCTTTAAATTTACCATTTTTTATATATTTTATTTTTCTAATAAGCAACACATGAATACTAAAAATAAAATTTGATTTTTATTCTATTTCAATTTTTACTACTCGAGTTGTTCAAGTAATTTAATTAATATATTTTTTATTACTATGAGGCTTATCGCATTTTCTAGTCGACTTGTTATATATATTAATACTATCGATATTTTTAGTAACACTTTATAGCCACAAAATATTTTATTTTAGGTACCTTTTATGTTCTTCAAATATAATCTATTTTTAGATTTTTTAGTTAACGCTTCAGTTTAAATTCTTCAATGCATTTTGGATTTTTTTAAGAATACATATTTCACTATAAAAATTGGCATTTAAGGTTATAATAATGATAATGGTATATTAAATCGCTCATTTTTTAAAATTTATTCTTGCACTCTACCAGGTATAAATTAAAATTAAATAATCGTATTTTATACAGTTTAAATATTTATTATAATCCATTATGGTATGATATACATACTTTGTGAACACTATATTAAAATATATCACACATCCCTCTTCCAATCTATCAATACTATTACGGATTTGCTTGTGAATCTTATCATAGAGAATTTTCTGTGGTTGTCATTTGAATTATTGATCAGATAGCACATAATTTTTCCGTCAAAATATGATCTCTTATACATTAAGAACACCATTTATAATATATATATTACTGCACTCATACAAATGGATTTAGGTAAGAATATTGTATTTATATACATCTAGAAATTTTCAATTGCATTTTACCTTATACGATTTATTGTAAATTATTCTTGCCAGTAATATACATCCAATGTCAAATCATAAATTATTATCATCATTTTTACGATGGAAACTAATCCACATATTTTAGGAGTGTATATAACACGCACACACACACACTCATGCATAGACGTTTATATATATATATATATATATATGTATATATATTTAACGCATTATACAATAACGTTTGTATCCTGGGATACATTTATGCACGACACACAATATAATACAACGAATCGTTATAAATAACATTCAATATTTAATACTTACAATTTATTTTATTTTTTTTTTAAATTAAAAATATTTATAATATAATATTTACTTATCACGATAGATGACTAACAGATATCAGCTGTCATATAATTATAATTTTATTAAAGTATAAATTTAATATTAATTTTTTACGATTATAATGATATTAATCATTTACAATTTTCATTGTCTTTATATTCATCGAATTTCTGTTGATGGAAAATAATATATATTATAAAATGAGTTTTTTTTCAGGTTTTAAAATTACAAAATATTTTAGACGAACATTTTTACAATAATTGCCTCACTTATAATTTAGAAATTGTTTTGTTATTTAAAAATAAATAACTAGATATTTATAAATATAATTAAAATAAATAAGCTACCTTTTATAACTTAATAATTTCATTACAAGTTTAAATTCTTACATTTTAATTGTATTAAAGTAAATTTTAATAAATAATTTAGAAAAATCAATTTTAGAGAATAATA